GTCAATGCTACCTCATCCTTATTGTCGATGCCCGCGGCTTGAAAGATAGAAGTCTGGTAAAAAATGATAGCGTTGATGCCAGAGAACTGCTGCAGTACTTGCAACATGATACCAATGAAAACTTGCATCCGGCATCTATTCAATGCTTTCAGAGATGTCATGACGGATCCCTTCTCTTCGCTGTCTCTTTTAGACTTGATAGCCTCCAAGGCCACGAGCTCAGCTTTGACCACAGGATCTTCCGCATCACCTCCGCGCAGTTTGATAACGATCCCCTTGGCTTCCTCGATACGTGACTTTTCAGCTAACCAACGGGGAGATTCGGGTGCGAAGAACATGCATATTCCCAGCAGAGCCGCCGGGATGATGTATACGAAGCTGAGTGTTCGCCAGTTACAGAATGTTCTTGATGTGGCTTCTGGATCGATCGACCCGGCTTGGGTGCGGAAAGCCAACCCAAAGAGATAAGCCAAGAGGATGCCGATAGTAATCCCAAGCTGATTGCAAGCACCGAAAAGACCGCGGTATTTGGTGGGAGCAACTTCGCCGATGTAAGTGGGCACGCTGAAGGAGCTCATGCCAAGGGCAATGCCGACAATGACACGAGCCACGATGAGCTGCCACGCGGTGCGCGCTAGACCGATCCATAGAAAGGCCAATAAAAATAAAGGGGATGCACCAATGATGCTCCATTTACGGCCAATCTTCTCGTTGACGGGGCCACCGCCAAGCGCCCCGATGATAGCACCAATATTGACCATAGAACCGAATAAGGAAGCATCGTTACTAGTTTTGAGGACGAAGAAGGATGACCCTTCACCGATCGGGATATGCCTCCCATCGGTGGTTGTGACGTTGTCTCTCATAGTGTCAATGGCCGGTCCAGAAAACCCCAGAGACAGACCGAAGAGTAACGCACCGAAGAGGGATGCTGAGACGGACAGAATAGCACAGGTATGTTTCATAGTTGAAGAACTCAACTGAGGCCAAACTTAAGGGGGGAGAAATCCACAACAACGGGCTTGGGGCCGATATGCCACTCTGCGATCTGAGGTAATCATTCTGAATAAGAGAGCTGCAGGGATGGGAAAGGATACCCGGCTTTGGAATGGCATAGCGGCCCCATGCGGAATGAGATTCCTCAACAGCAAAATTGGTGTTCTCTGTTTCGTGCCGCTGCGAGGTCGATTGTATGTAGGCATATCTTGGGTGTACTTATGCCATCCTTGCCCATCATACCCCTGGCATAGGCGCCCCACCTGGACATCCTCGTGATTGAGCGGCCCCTCATCTGACAGTTGCGTTCGCGTGCAGCATTTTTCGCTACGCCCAATTTAGTGTGATTAAGATTGTTACCACAACCAACGCTTGAATATCGAGTCGAAAGTCGTAACGTTTAGAACGCTATCACGATTACATTGCAATTGGCAACTACAACGCGTCAATTACCAGAGATCGCTTCCGATCTCGCTATCGGCGAGCCAAAGGTTCAAGGTGACGTCACGTCTCTGACGTGAGGAATGTCAAGTGATTGAACTGAACTCAAGGTCAACTCCTGATATCCGTATGATGGAAAAACTTGTGAATTCGTTTACAAATGAAGGCTTCTCTATTGTTACGGCATAGTCGCAAGCGGGATGAACCTGAAGTGTCGATCAGGCCTCCAGTGGCTGATGTGAAGATCGAAAACATCGGGTGAGTGTGATCAAATTACGATGTATCGTCTGTCGTTGCAGACTAGTTACATCGTTATTCCGCTATAAACCGATCTACTTTCGCTATTTTGTCAGGGAGCGTCTTCATCGAGGTGACGTGTTGGACGACTTGGAATATCTTTTGTTCAACAATCGAGTTACCACCTCGGATCCGAAATCATTCTTGCATATTCGAAAGCCAGCTTCCGTGGATATGAGAAATAGCCTTTTAAGCGCTATGGACTGGACTGACCACGAGAGAGGCAAAGTGAGTTAGTCGAGTGTCTCTCGAATCTTCGTTCCTCCAACCCCCCAGGTACTCTCTATGCTAAGTAAAGAGGAGTACACAGTTAAAGTGAATAAAGATATGGAGGTGCAAGTCAGAGTTCGGTCACTGTGTCTCTCCTCCTATATATGCCCTGATAAAAGCTTTCGTCATTGTATCGTTGGCAGTAACATTCCAGAGACTCAGAAGTTGTTTAGATTTGCAAACCGCCCATGTGTCTTGGTCCTCCACGACCTAGGTGATGAGAGGTCTTCTTGGTTACAATGGATGCGATTGGCCGTAGATATCTTCAAAGGAGATATCTTTGATATTGTCATGCTTGAAGTCGACCAGTGGCGTAAAGACCCTTCATCATGGTTCTCATATCTGCCTTATATCTTACCACACCTTCTCGAACACTTGGGTATCAGTAAGGTACACATCCTTGCAGACGGATATGGAAGTGGGTGTTTTCTAAGATGGTTAACACAATGGAAAAATAATGATAATATGCGCGCACTCGGAATGTTCTCGAAAACGACGCATCTTCTCCACAATTGTGATTTTCACCGTGCCATTCATCTCTACGATGATGAATGGGCTAAGGCTCTTCGAGCGGTGATCAAAGCGACCGGAGTGCAACTGTGGTTCACTTGGCAAGACCAAACTCATCCGTTCAAAGTAGCCAGGAATCGTTCTAGTGGCCGCAGCACTATGAAGAGGGTGCAGGAGTCTATCACTCAGCTGGCCGCCGATCTCGAGAGCGACAAGTGTCTCTTGGACCCACCGTTTGATCCCACCATCTCGAGTGAATTGCCGTCCTCAGTATTGCGAAGTGAACTCATTGATTTTCCAACTGGACGTGTGGCGATGCCCAACTTAGTCAATTTACCAGCCAGTGAGCGGTTCACAGAATCGGTGAAGGAATTTTTCCGAGAAGGGGAGAGAGCGAAGATGCGACTGATCAAAGAATGCTTTCTGGATGGCCTTTTCATCGACTCGGACGTTTTGATGACGATTAATAGGCCGATGATCGAAGTACGGGGATAGGCTTGGGTTGGGATGGTGATGGTGATGTTAAGGTTCCGCAAGGAGGGGGCATCTTCCCAGCGTTGCTGTCTGGAGATGAGAGAAAAATGTGGTAATAATGGTCGGATGGTTTAGTTACAGTGCTGATATGCAGTAGGCGCATGTTCAAACCCTGCTCAGTTCATTTTATTCCCGTGATATTTCTCAGTAGAATATGACATGGTGATATTTTTAGCATTACAGGGCGTTGCTGACTCTCAGCATATAGATATTTATTCATCCTCAGCTCTACGCCAAACTGCACTACGTCGGTTCGGCGAGAGGAAGGCAAGGATGTGAGAATATGTAATACGCTGAGATCCTTCATATTATCGACCCGAGGGAAGATAGGTTTCCAGCAGTGTAGTAATGCTTGCTCAGTGAATAACAATAGAGAGATCGAGTCGGTGGTAGATGGCCCGATAGCAGAGGGAAGTGAACTGAAAGTAGTCCCAACTGGGGGTTCGTTTATCATATGAATGCCGGGATGGAATTGGTCTGAAGTTAGGTTTTAACGCATTCCTTCACAGCGGAAAACCCCACGATATCAAGGGAAGGTGTGAAGAAAACTACTGTTGAGTATGAGAAGTAACTATAACATTCACGGAGTCTCTTATAAGGATAGGAACTCTCTCAGGTTGGATAGAGCAATTTCGAAAAGCTTAGCGGAGCGAAGCATATCATCGATTTTGCATGATGGAAATTCATAGACCTCTTGAAAGACCGGCTTACCATGTTACTTGCATACCCCATCAGAATCGTTGGCCTCAACTTTTTCTGTTGCGTTCAGTGTTTCCATAGGGGGTGGACTCCGTTTTTAAAGTTGATATTATTACTCTGATAGTTTATGACAACTGCGAGTGCAGGGAGGTGGATCTGCTTTAGTATTGAGGACCTTAAAAAATTCAAAGGTCTCCCGCAATGTAACGAGAAACCCAATGATTTTCCGACTCTTATTGACAAAGACAATACCGAGTCACCACTACTAGGAAGTAATACTAAGGGAAGTAGCATCTGTCGGTAACTGAAGTGGCGAAGTTATGGTATCAAATTGCTAATAATCATCGCCACTGGTCGTGGAAATTCTCCTCCTCCTATTCTGATCTTGTTCGTTCGCGGTCTACCTGTATTTCTATGTGTGATATCAGCTTACCGTGGAGGAGACCAACGTAGGGGTGGCGGGCAGTCCAGAGGGGCAAGCAATAGCACAGGTGGATGGACAACAGGGTGATACGCTGTCACGGAGCTACTGCTGTAGTGGTATAGATAGTGCTTGGACTATGTGTTGGTGACAAAGTGAAAATTTCGAGGAGATTTTTGAAATTCTTTATTGGTCTCTGTACACTTGTACTCGCATTCGTGTATAAGCTCTCATAATTTGCGAAGGAACTCCTGAGCTCAGCTGAGGAAAGCATTTTCCGAAACTGCATAGTAGCGTTCTTTAGAATTCAGTCCTATACTTGTGTTGGTCCTCTCTCTATTTGTGGTATTAATTTCAAGTGCCTTGTGCGTAGTCGTAAACTGTGTTCGTGGTCTCAGTGATCATCATGACCGCTCGAGCGCACGGGAAGTAGGCAAGCCGGGACAGTGGAGGTAATGGAAAACGGCGTTATGGTGACACTCTGTCGTTTTTCAACTGAAAACTTTTTCCAAAACGTTCTTGAAATTCGTGGCAATTGTGAGTTTTCGTGTTTCATCAGAGACGGGGAAGAAGACAAAGCTGGCGATCGACATCATCATCATCAACGTGGAGCTGTTCGCAGGTAGTATCTTGAAAATCTTCATACTGCGTTACAAAAATGATACGGGTGTTTAGAGATGACGATCGAGGGGGAAGATACTCCAGTGGGTATCTTACTGGCAAGGGCCGGAAGGGTGGGGTTGGAGGCCGGTAGTACATGAATTTCTTCCAAAATATTCCATACCACTCCTTTCTGAACTTCCATCGTACTATGTTTCAGAGATATGTCTCCGCCTAGTAGCCCTCAGACAGGTGGCAAGGGCGGCCGGAAGCCGCTGCTCACGGTGGGCAGCGGCGGTTTAGATCAGTTCACTTTGGGTGATATTAGAAAGGCTGAAAAGACTCTTGAAGAGGTAGTGGACTTGTTGGTAGGGAGAGGGACAGGGGATTGTGTTGGTTCAGTCACATATGAGTCTTGGGCAGTACGCTCGGAAAGTGGCACAAGGAGAAATCACAAAGACGACTGATGATGAAGAGGAAAAGTAAAAGAGGGTTGTTGGATTTGGGCCTAATCTGTATCTTGCATCGTGGAAGCTAAGATACTCATATTGGTAGATTTATCGATGATGACGATGGATTTTTCGCAAGTGAAATTCCTGATGGTGGAGATGGTGGACGAATGGCAAAATGGCTGAAGCCGACCGAGGGGGATTCAGGGCCGCCGCTGGTAGCAGTAGCTCCGCTCACTTTAATGCTCTTTTAATGTTAACTAAACTGCTATGTAAACCTCTATCATAAATGGCGATTATATGATTATTATGTATACCATAACAGGAGGGTTACGTCATATTTGTAGAGCGAAAATTGAAGTCAACTCTGTGAAAATACGTCGATACACAAGTCACTTTAGAATTGGAATTCAGAGGACTATTCTAACTTCTCACGTTTTGGTGTAGCGTTCGTATACTGCGAAAATACTAAACTTCGAGATTTAAAATGGCTGCTCACTGTTGCGAACTGGTGTGGTTGAGATGTGTCGGAATTACGGTATGGTCAAAATGTTGTTGTGTTCAGCCACAACCTCATCTACCCGCTGGCGCCACGACTCTGGAGGAGTTGGAAGCCGCGCAAAGGCAAAAACGACAACAGCGAGCCGCTGCAGAATCTTCGAGGATGCAAGGCAGGAATCAACAGAGTGTTGGACAGGTGGGCAACAGCAGTTGGGCAATAATTTTGTGGCGCGCGGTAAAACCATTCCTGAAATTTCGTGAGATATCATGCCAAAATTCGTTGAAGATGACTGAAATTTGAAGGGGTCTTGTACATGTTCGAGGTTGACTTGTCTAATTTTAGGGCAGCAACCAGGCTGGTCTGCAGCTACTGTCTATGCTGCATTCTAAAGGCAATACCCAACAACAGCATAAAGCAACTCCCAGGCCAACATCATCGATCCCACCCCCGCCTCCAGAGGGAGTGAGAGCTCCCCCTCCTCCTCCACCTCAGTATCGTCCACAGGCGCCTCAGGTAGGTGGTTGGGCTGCTGCTGCTGCTGCTAGTGCACTGATACGTTACTCTTATCATAAGATTAATTATTGAATATATAAAATGGTTATTATTATAATGAGGGCTAATATATAGACTATATTTGAATAGGTAGGTATTGATGATAGGTAGCAGCAACAGCAAATCCGAGTTACTCAACACAGCAAGTTATTGATATGTTACAGCAAAGGAGGCAGCAACAAGAAGAACAGAAAACTCGTCAACAGCGGGTTGAAGATCTGTTGTTATTGCAGCAGCAATTGGCTCGGGTAAGTTGGTGATAAGTCTGGGGTTGTGTACGGAGAGGTCAGGCCCGAGCGCAGCAGGAGCAGCAGCAGACCGGACAGCAGGTCACTTCTACACCCCAAATGAGGGCTTTATTGGAACAGCTGCAAATGCGACAGGTGGGGAATATAGTGAATCGATTGGCAATGATCTAGAAGAGTTGAACTGTCTAAAATCGAGCTCACAAGTGTTCGTTCACACTATAAGGCAGCTGGCTGTGATGGTGGTGGGGTCTTTGGAGGGGCGAGTTACCACACAGGCACAAAGACAACAACAGCAACAACAACAGCAACAACAGCATTTGCAACAGCAGCAACAACAGTTGCAACAGCAGCAGCAGTTGCAACGGCAGCAGATGTTGGCATCGGCTATGGCCCAGCAGAGAGCTGCTCAACAGCAACAGCAGTAGGAGGTGGGGTCCACTAGGGAGGTGTGGCATCTGTAATGCCCTCAGGATTGACCCGACGCTCTTGGCTCGCCTACAACAGCAACAACAGGCTAGACTGCAGCGACAACAGGCTCAGTTGAGGATGCAGCAACAACAGCAACAACCGCAGTGGAATACACAGGTAAGTGCTGGACCGTTTAGCGCACGCCCAGATGATCGATTACTGTTGAATGTTGTTTCAGCAACCTAATCAGCCAAGTTATTACAGTACTGAGCAGAGTGCTGAGCAGTGTAACCAGCAGTAGAGGGTGGAATCATTTGATTCGATGAGGCTCTTCTGATAGAAGCTAATGGTCGAATGGATACACTTCAAGGCCCTCATTCTCAAATGGAAATGATTCGTGTTGTCAAGTTAACTGTGACAAATCTGGACTCGCTAGATGTTTGATGCAAAGAGCAACTGGACGCGTGTTGGGCCATACACCTCTCTGGTGAGGAGGTGTTTGAGGGTGTCGAGGTGGATATGTTTACTGCCGACATATCGGGGACGGCCACTCAAGGAGATCCGCGAAGTGAACATATCTAAACTACTCATTGTAGTGGATGACCTCCACCAGCTAGCATATAACTTAGCTCACAAACTTTCGGCGCCCACTATGTGCGCCCTGGGAGTCATTGTGGAGGATTGGGAGAAGAATGATAACATATTTAAACGGCTGCTATGTTGTACGCATTCATCCTCGTGATCTGATCACAGTCTTTTCGAGTGGGAATACTTGTGTTTTCCGAGTCATCAACGTGAGAAATGCGTTACATCGATGGTACACAGATTATAATTATCTCTCATCGAAGTTCGACGCGAGCATATTGTCGCGTATGGTTCCGTAGAATTGATGACTAAACACAATATGTTGAATACAACGAAAGCATGCGCCAAGAGACGACAGTCTCGTCGCTGTTTATTAGAGTACTCAATAGAGTTTATATTCTGCAGCTGCGAGTAGCTGACGAAACGAATAGCACAAGTAATACGTTAATATGCGGAACAATAATTAGTCAAGAAAAATTCGCATAACGACAATTGATAGCACGCACTAAGTAGAAAATATTATACGGTCGGGAACTCAGGTCACTGTTCTCTGCTGGGCGAGTAATAAAGTATCTATAAAGCGAAAAAAAGACATCTCTTGAATCGGTCGGAGTCGTGGAGTCGCTACGGAGTTTGAGTTCCATGTCGTCGAGGGCTGGCAACAGATCATCTTTCACCTGAAAGGAATTCACAGCGGTCAGACTTGTAAGAGCCTACAAGTCGCAGAAGGAGCTCCTGGCGTTTTGCCAACTTGGAAGTGTCCTCATACGGTGATGCTGAATCGTCGCTTTCATCCATCTAAAGCAAGGTTGCTTATCGAAACGGAAAGACCCCGGGGACCGACCAAATCGCTTTTCCCCAATTTGACTTCCTTGTGGTTCGATGAACCTGATGGGAAAGAGAATAAATAGAATGCGAATAGTCGCCCATGCCTCGGGAGAATTCTCGATGGTAAGAGAGGACTCCAGAATTGTCGATCTTCTCACGGGGGATCCCCAAGTCGCTCATGTCACTAACACCACGTCCTTCTCGATCTGAAAACCAAAACTTACGCGAAGTCTACTGTTGCCAACACTCACGATGGGCAACCAAATTCCGCCCTGTTCTGAGGGATGCTCTGAACTGCTCAGTGCGAAGTCTTGGGTGAACGCAAAACTATGCAGAAAACAGCAGTGAGATCTGAAACGGCATCGATGATGAAGACATACATATTTGAGCTTCTCCGTGGCATCTCGCTGCATCGACATCAGCAGATGTGGGAAGGCACAAAAAGTCTCTAGAAAAATGAAAGTGGTTTCGCCTCAACATTCACCAAGGACTCACGAAACAGCGCGGCCGCATCCAAGGCAAACAACTCTGCATCACTGTAGGCTCTAACGGTGAACTGCCGATGCTCCTGATCGCAATCAATGTAAACCGGCAAGGAAATTTGGTCAAATAGAAAATGAATTATTTTCCCCATTTTTTCTCGGAGAGATTCGATATTTTCACGAACAAGATCGTGTCACTCTAGTATGTGATAGATCACCACTATACTGAAAATTGTCCAGCCTGAGGCACTAACGTGAAATACAAGATTTTCGCATTTGCCCAAGAAAAAAAATACACTATGAATTTTCCCGCCAAGCTCGAGCAGGATGGACAACCACAGTAGACTCACCTGACAGAATAGCTCGACTTCACCAAAGTAGCTCCCTTCCTTATAGAACCACAGAGGCGGTCGCGGGGCATCTGATGAGCAGTGTGGGAAAGTATGCACATGGTCAACTACATGTGGCGGTAACAGCGTGAAAATTCCGAGAAAATTTTGGGAAATTCTTGATATTTTCTGTGCACGCTTTTACCCGAATTTGTATGTAGACTTCTATAATTAGTGAGAAAATTGCTGAGCTTGGTTGATTACAGCGAACATATATTCCAATACTGCTGAAACCAATCAACTTCTACTATACATTGGAGTTCCACCCGTTTGACGTGGAGCGGCGTAAAACTTGGTGAAAACGCGATTTGCGCGGCCTGTAGTAGTCGTGAAATATGTTTTTCACTAGTGTTTTCCATATCACTATGGTGAAACTCCATTGACCTTAACTTACTTCCCTTAGTTTCCTCCTGTGTATTCTCCAACGGTGCCTCGACACCGACTTGTCCTCTCACAACAAACACGACTTGATCTGCGATGTCACCTAACCGGGAGCATGCACAGACGGACGCCCATGGGAACATCCAATTCACCTTCTTTCCATATCAGGCCGTTCTTGTCATCCATCGGTCGCTTCACTACTCGCTGCAGCAGAGGCGCGAGATGACAGATCTGAAATTTCCACCATCACTATTGCTATGTGCTTGCGTGCTGACCAGAGCATTCTTGTTACGGGAATCCGAGAAGATGTCCAGACTTAAATGCCGACCGCCGTGCATCGAGTATGCTAGTTTAGTGCGTACCTACATGGAGGAGCTCCCAACAATGTATGATAACAGTGGAGCTTCACCCGTGATATGAAAAACACTAGTGAAAAACATATTTCACGACTATTGCAAGGCGCAGATATCGCGTTTTTCACGGAGTTTTACACCACTTCACGTAAAACGGGTGAAACTTCAATATTTTAACAATTATTAATTTTATTTATACGAATTCATTTCTACTCAAAAGCAGAATTAAGTACTCGGGAGTGGCCGTTCACTCAGACATCCTCGCAATTCTTTAATCTCCAATATCAAGCTCGATGAGTGTTAGCAGTGTGGGAAAATATGCACATGGACAACTACATGTGTTGGTGACAATGTGGAAATTCGAGGAAATTCTTCGAAAATTGTTCTTAGTCTTGGAACATTTCCATCCTAATTCGTATATATAAGCTCCTATAATCAGCAATGAAACTCACGACATCTACTGAGGAAAGCAAACATATACTCCTTTACCACTGAGTTTCACCTCCATCGGAAATGTGCCCATGATAGTCGCAACTTGCTGCGGGTTCAAAGAAGTGTCTGTTTCCGTATGCGCCAGCATAAGTTCATCTAGCACGCCACTGCAAACACGATGAAAGGCTCGAAACTAACTTAGATCTTTTATGAGTTTCAGGTCGATCTCAGCATTCGAGCAAAACTCCACCAGATGCGACAATCGCTGATTTCTCAGTTTTCTATTCTTATCCCGAAGCGCCAAAATATCTGCTAGAATGTAAAACGGCCGAGCCACTGCTCCTGAGCTTACTAGCAACACGGCTGATGATCTGTGCGTAAACGGCCACGCCCAAACACATGATCGCCATGGCGAACACCTGTGAGCGTTCCTTAGATCAAACTACAGTTCTCGAAAAAATTCTGAAATATCGCGAATTTCGCTAAGACTAGGTTGAGTAACGCCAGTCAGCCTAGTCTCAGAGACATTCAGAAAATTATAGAAAGAAAATTTACACGTGACTTCGGTTGAAAATTTACAAAAAAAACCAACAAAATTTTCCGAAGTTTCCTCACAATTTTCTCCTTGTTATGTAGAAGTTCAACAAATGACACGAACAACATTGGAGCTGATGAATATCCTTACATATTCTAGTGCAGTATTAGGAGTAATATCACCATAGCCAACCGTTGTCACTGTAGTGACCACCCAGTACACTGAGGCCACATATCTAACACAATGGTGTTTCACCCTAGTGATACGAAAAACACTAGTGAGAAACATATTTCGCATTTTTCACCGAGTTTTACGCCACTCCACGTTAAACAGGTGAAACTACACTAAGTATGTCAACACCATTCGACTAACGAAGAAGTGACCAACTTGAGTTTTCATTGCTAATTTTGATTGTATATTGGAGTTTCACCCTAGTGATATGTAAAACACTAGTGAAAAACGTATTTCACGACTACTACAGCTCGCGAGTATTGCGTTTTTTCACCGAGTTTTACGACGCCACTTCACGTAAAACGGGTGAAACTCCACTAATGAAATTCTTAGAGCCAAATTCGATTCTTACACTGTACATGCTTACACAGGGAAAATGTATATGTAACGATGTGGAAATGAATGCTCGCTTTCCTCAGCTAAGTTCAGGAGTTTCCTCACTAATTATGGAAGTGTACATACAAATTCTGATAGGACTGTACAGAAACTAACGAAAATTTCCCCAATTTTCCTCAGAATTTTCACAATAATCACCAACATTGACCGTGTGCATACACTCTCCAACACTAGACTTTCGCCCGTGTTACGTGAAGTGGCGTAAAAACGCGAAATTCCCGGTATGCAGTAGTCGTGAAATATATTTTTCACTAGTGTTTTTCATATCACTAGGGCGAAACTCCCATTGGATTCAAGTACAACTCAAACTCACCTGACGCCGAGTGGCCGTATGCATTGATTCACAAGCGCTTCCGTGTCGAGATATTGTAGATCATCACAGCTCTCATCCTGATGTAAGATGACTCATGCATCGAAACATGTTTGCATCTCACAAAGGAGCTCAGCTGTCTTCGAGGCCAACTTCGCAATGAGAAATCCTCCGCTCGAGCAACCAAATACCTGAAAATGACCGAAAAATCAACAAAAATTTCTGCCATATTTGCAGCATTTCCAGAACAATTTTGACAGTAAATTAGCCAAAACTAACGTCGTTGATCGAAGTTCGAATATTTTCGAGAAGTTCAGATATTCCACGAAAATTTCCGATAATTTATTACCCCACCAGTCGTAAAAAGCTTCGAAAATAATTTTTTTTTCAAAAAAAATGGTAAATTTGACCTGGGAATTCTGCAGATAGTGGTGATACATCAATACGATAATAAGGACCATGTCACCCCTACCATATACAAGCTATGACGTGAATAGCCGTCGCGAGGAAAACACCAAAAAGGGCGAACTCCGCCCAGGCTTCACTCAAAAACCTGTCCAAGAAAAGCTCATTGACTCCTTGGTACATTTGCGAGTTTACCTATGAAAAACGCCGCTCAGGAGAGCACGATGTTGCAGCACTTTAAAAAGTCGAATTAGCCGTAACAGACGTAAAAGACGGATTGCGTTGAAACTTGTACTCTCCTGAGCTCACACGACAGTAACTAGTAGTTCAACATGGATGCCACTACCGTGTTGAAGTCAGGCACAGTAGTTGCTATCAGAGGTAAGCAGGCCAATAAATCGAATATAAACCAGGAACAGAGATAATGGTAGAATATACGACTAAGGGTAAAAGGAAATAATTTCGCTTATTATCAATACTCGTTAGAATTGGTAAAATATATATACGACTAAGGGGAAAAGGGAAATAATATCGCTTATTAGCGAGAAAGAAAAACCCAAGTCAAAATCCATTCATATGTATTTTGAAAATATCAATACTCGTTGAAATTGGTAAAATATACGACTAATAGGGAAAGGAAATATCATCGTTCATGAGTAACATTGTGAAAAAAAACCAAGTCGGACTGCGCGTATATGACTATAACAATACGAGTCAAATTTTAATCCCATAACAATATCATCAAAGACACTATAATCAATACAATGGAGTTTCACGACCCGTTTTACGTGAAGTGGCGTCGTAAAACTCGGTGAAAAACGCGATATTCGCGGATTCCTGTAGTAGTCGTGAAATATGTTTTTCACTAGTGTTTTTCATATCACGGGTGAAACTCCAATGTTACACTGTTGGAATACATATGTTCACTTTCCTCAGCTGAGCTCAGGAGTTTTTATATACGAATTATGGCAGAATTGTTCAAAAACCAACAAGAATTTACCAAAATTTTAACCATATTGTCACCGACACATGTAGTTGACCATGTTCGTAATTTCACACACTACTATGTCCGAAAATCAATCACATATATAAACCACGTCATATAGCATAAAATCATAATATTATGTTATCATAAAATTTTCGGTTTTCAAACGGAGAGAAATAACAAAGTTGTCCTTTTACACAATTTCCCAATTTCAAGTCAACAACAGAATTGAGAGAAAAATTAAATTATTTTTTCGTGAAATGAAAAAAGTTTCTAACAGAATGCAAACTCAAATTCGATATTAAAACTACTCAAAAAGCGAAGTTCAAATTCGTAAATGAATTTCATTTTTTCGATTCTTTCTTTCACTCGTTGTATTTGAGAGTAAAAGTGTAGTAGTCGCATTCAGTTTAGTTCAGCAGAGTTTCACCCTAGTGATATAAAATTCACTTGTGAAAAATATATTTCACGACTACTGCATAGCGCCAATGTCGGATTTTTCGCAGAGTATTACGCCACTTCACGTAAAACGGGTGAAACTCCAGTGAGCAACGCTAATTTGTCATACACACTGGAGTTTCACCCGTGATATGAAAAACGCATTTTACGACTACTGCATATCACCGCGAATTTCGCATTTTTCACCGAGTTTTACACCACTTCACGAGAAACGGTTGAAACTTCAATGCTTCCCCACAGTGTTGAAAACCCCAACAGAGACTTTCCTCACTTGCCACGTTGCTCCAGCATGCCATCACCAGATCGCTGATACATCAGTCGAAAATTGATAAGTAAATCCACGATAAAAATAATATCAACCAACAATGTGATGACCTGCACAACTAAGGGATGAACGTTAGCAAAATCTTATCAGAGAATCATCCAGGAACCTACAATGGAGTTTCACACGTTTTACGTGAAGGTGCAAAACGCGATTTTCGCGGCGATATTCAGTAGTCGTGGAATGTGTTTTTCACTAGTGTTTTTCATATCACTAGGGTGAAACTCCAATGTTCCCAGGCGAGAATTCATTTTGAATTTGCCACGTTCTTCAATCAGTTTCCCATGTAAATGTGCGTGTAAGTCTGAAGTCCAACGCCTACGACTGCACGGCTTAGTCAGACTCGCTTCGATGCACATGAGCTCACGAGGGATCAGTTTTAGCCTTTAAGTGTCTACTTTCATTATGCAAATGTCATCACATTAGCAACATCATTTTCCCCCATTTTTATCAAGCCCTGATGACGTTATCTCTCAAAGCTAAATGCGACGGTGAGTGGAAGTGAACTGACCTCCCAGAAAATTCTCGAATCGCCAACTGTGAGAAAACATAACCTAAACGTCTCCAACGTCGCGGTGTACATCTGAAAAAGAGTATAACTGAATCGATGATTGATTCAACATGTATTGGTTCTCCTCAGCTTAGTAACTTATAGGAGTTTATATACTAACGTAGAAATGTTCAGAAACCGACAAAAAAATTCTCAAAGTGTCACCAACACATGTAGTTGACCATGTGCGTATTAGCTCATACTAGATCCAACTACTCGAGTATCATCCATTTCTACTTGTGCACTATTCATATTCCAAATCAAAACGCCTCGAACCAGCATAAAGGCGATTTTCTCGAGATCAGTGTGAGAAAATATGCAACTAATCAATTAAATGTGTTATCGAAAATATGAAAAGTCTCAGAAAGTTTCTGCTGTTTTTTGGGCAATTCTATAATCAGTGAGCAAACTCTTGAGCTCAGTGGAGGAAAGCCAACATATATTCCAACACAACCGTACCCACCAGAGCTGTGAAAATGAGAGGAATCCATCCTCGAATATACCACTTCCTTTCAGGCGACCTAAAACGAATCTTTATTGTCACCATTATGAGTTCATCGCTACAGAATAGGTAGCCACGGCATGCAGTCGTTTTGAGAGTGAAGACCTCTACTCAACGAACCACAACAAGTTCGAGCTCTCGAGGGGATCCCTGGTGATGTCGACGCGTTTCCATGATCATCCGAACCAGGCCTGAGCCTTCTCACAGTGCCGCATACAAGTTATGGTAGACGCCCTACGTTGTTGCAATTTCATCTTCATCTTCACGTGGGGAAGGTTCTATCAGGAAGCGCTCGACCGTACGAGCACTAAGGAGTTAATACAGCGACGAATTGGTGAATTTCTCACTCGATTTTTCTTTTCCGACGTCGACGATTTTTCAATGCGACTTTCGCCTGCCTAACTGTTCGGTTCACGTCGGAGGTTCGTCGGACCTGTGATAAAAGAATCACATCTAGTGTTTAATACGGCGAGAAGTTCAACAACATGTATACCTCAGTATTTCACGCATAATATGTTTCTATGGTAAAACCGCGACTATGGCATACAATCCACTACTGTCATCATCATCGTGAATCAAGTTTCAATGCGAATTGAAGTTTCTGAGAAACGGTAAGGGCTATATAATGGAGTTTCACCCGTTTTACGTGAAGTGGCGTCGTAAAACTCCGTGAAAAACGCGCTATTTGCGCCTTGCAATAGTCGTGAAATATGTTTTCACTAGTGTTTCTCATATCACTAGGGTGAAGAAACTCCAATGCTGTTTTTAACTCGTTGAGAAACGCATCTAGTGTTTGATGTTATGAACGACTCAATACCACACATTCATCAGTATTGCAATACACTGCTGGTATGAGCTGTTGAGATTTACGGTATTAACCGAAACTTCGCTACTAGCGAAGTCTCGGTTAATCGCTAATGCTTATTTGCGATTATACTTAATCGTCATATTCGGTTAATGCGAATCGCTAATACTATCACATTCACTTTCATCGTAATCTACTACTAGAGTTCCACCCTAGTGATATGAAAAACACTACTGAAAAACACACTTCGCAGAGTATCACGCCATTTCACGTAAAACGGATGAAACTCCACTATTATCACCTCCAACTTTACTGTGAATCGAATCGCTATGCAATTCGGAAATTTTTTCAACGTGAGCGCGACTATCGTTATGAAATGTTGCTTTCAAATAGTTGTCATCATATTTATACTACTGGAAATTAACAGGCTAATTTTAAGACTGTTTTCATCGCGCACATAACCGTTTATTTCGACATCGCAACGGTATAGTGCAGAAATAACAACAACATTTTTTTCACTCACATTCGTTGTCACCACCGGGGGCGACGATTCGGTATGAGGAGGAGGGGCTTCCGCGATGTTATCAAAGAACCTCGTATGAGCCCGAGTAGTAGCCGTTACAGAGCACATAGAAACCGGTGGTGAGATGAAGTCCAATTCACGTATTGATCGACGATCGAGTGAAACTGAATGAAGTTTCAACCTAGTGGGAAATATATTTCACGACAACTGCATAGTGCGCATATCGCGTTTTTTACAGAGTCTTACGTCAGTTTACGTAAAACGGATGAAACTTCGATACTAACGTGATAAGAACTATTCGATCAGTTATGTTTTCTCACAGACGGAAAAATATGCACATTGTCAGCTTCATGTATCGGTGACAATATGAAAATTCTGAGGATTGGAAATTCGAAAATACTCGCATATAAATTCCTATTACTAGTGAGTAAACTCTTGAGCTCAGCTGAGGAAAGCAAACATATTTTCCAACACTGGTTTCTCACATTGATTCCGTTGATCATATATTTCATCAACATCAACTGTAGCTCCTGTGAGGAATTCCCTGTGTGTATTGTCATCAAAACCGCGATGGGTATCGCCTGGTGGGTTCGATGCAGTGACGGGTGAAATGTCCAAATCTGTGGTCATCTGGTGCGAACACAATATATATTCAAAATCAATCCTACGACAAGTGTCAGGATATGTTTACTCCTAGAAAATAACACACTTGAATTGGAGTAGAAGTGTACAAAATTCAACGAAAATTTGGTGCACATTTTCCCCTGGTGCGAAGAAAGATCTTCTCAACTAGATTACTCACTGTGCGGTAACAGATATTCATAGAATGTCTTCTCTCGCGATCTACTACAGACACCGAGTAGTATCTGTGCATTCGTGACCATACTTCCTATCTAACCTCACCGCTCAATTACGCGGTTACTTCGCTATCACCTTAGGTGAATTGCAAACTACCATTATGGTCAAGGCTCGACAAGGACATATTTATTACGGTGTAAGAAAATATGCACATGTGATGGTGAAAATATAGAATTTCTGACAAAATTTTGGTAAATTTTCGTTGGTTTTGTACATTTCTACGCAAAATAGTGTGCGCGGATTTTCATAATGTAGTAAGAAAACTTACGAGCTCAGCTGAGGAAACCAACCATAGATTCCCCGACTAATATAATATCTCTCTTGGGAGCTCAGCAGCTATACTTCAAGTCGATACCGTATAGATCCAATTCACGTTTGCCAATTTCTTATCAGCATGCGCCAATACTCGATCTAGAAGAGGACCCCCTATTGCTACACCTAGCTGTCCCTCCTTAAATTCGATTAAATACCGTAAATTCGTAAATTCCCCAAAAAATGACAAAGACTATACTCAACCATATCATGTTCAGCTGCGATATATTAACAAGAATATAGGTTTTTCATGTCACCCTAGTGATCTACACTCCACCATCCGGTAGCAACTCCCAATCTCTTACTGTACCTAACACGTGCAGCAAAGCTGAACAGCACCAAACTCGGTGGTGTCCACGAGCTCGTCCTCGTTGTTGAATACCCCGATGTTAGAGCGCCGCGCCAATGTATATGCGCAGTGTTGGAATATATGCTCGTTTGCCTCAGCTGAGCTCAAGAGTTTCCTCACTAATAATAGAGATATATACACAAATTTGGGTAGGAGTGTTCCGAAATCAACAACAGTCTCTCGAAATTTCCTCAAATTTTTCATATTGTCATCACCGACATATGTAGCTGACCATGTGCATATCTTCCTACACTGTATATGCGTACATTACGATTGAGCTATAGTCACAAGGTTCCCCTTTTCCCATAGATCAGTTCATACCGATCTGTTCTGATCGTTAGTTCTCTACGACTCCCACAACACGCGATGTCGTCGAAAACTAGAACCATGCAAAATTCAACATCTACACAAGCCGTAGCTATGGGGTAAAACTGCGCTGAAAATAATTCCAACAAAGTGAGAAAAATTTTTTATATACGAGGAAACGCAGCATTGTGCATAAAAACGTCTCCTGTGGGATTCGAACCTGAGCTGGGTTTGGTCTCCAGAATCAAAGCCTTGTACTACTATCAACATATATGGTAAACTAATATACACCAGTCTTGGAATATACTCGCCCGAGCTCGGGAGTTTCCAAAACCACACCAAAAAAACAAATAAATTCGAGTACAAAACCCAACAAAAATTCCTTTAAAATTTTTCATTGTCACCATCACGAATGGTAAACTAAAAAAACTTCACACTGATGATTACCATTACTACAGGATTTTCAAAATAAAATTAATTTTTCCCCAAAATGTTGTGGGAGTATTGGTGACCATGGACGATGCAATTAAACGAATCACATAAAAAATTGGTACACCAATCTCACCATAGTTGCCGACAGTAACAATGCTTCATATCAACTTAGTAAAAATCTCCCACAGGAACATCTCGCCGACTCGAATAAAGCACCCAAAGCACATAGCAAGGATAATTGTTTCTCTGCAAGTACCGTAACAGAGGCAAATCCTCCTCCTCCTCA